CAATTTTCATGCGAGATATGTTATCCGTAGTATTTTGGCCTCCTGATCACGAATCCGGTGTCAGAATTGAGCTATCACATCACAGGAATTTCCTAACCTCAAAAAACGTGAGCAGCTTAAAAATAGCAAAAATTCACAAAAGAGTGCTAGGAAAGATACAAAAAAAAAAATTCTTCTATATTCAAATGCTCGTTTATATGGTTAAGGCCCCGCCGATCGTGAGTCCCCGGTCAGAATTGATGGTTCTTTTTGTAACCTCAAAAAAAACGGGTCAATTAAGGTCAGATATCACGAATTTTCAAAAAAATAACAGATTCGCGCCAAATTTGGTGTACGGGGGTTTCGGGGTCGCTGATCACGGATGCGAGGTGAATTTTGCATAATTCAAGATGGCGGATCCAAAATGGCCGATCAAATTTAAAAACAAATTCAAAATTTTCGTGAATTTTTGCTATTTTTAACCTGCTCACGTTTTTTAAGTTTAGGAAATTCCTGTGATGTGATAGCTTAATTCTGACACCAGATTCGCTCCAAAAAATGGCTATATTTGAGATACCGGAAAAAATCCATATTATCATTTTATCGATAAGCGGTATTTTTTTGTTAACAATAAAGACTTTGAACTTCAAAATTCTCTTTTTACTTTTTTTCTAACCATTATTTATTAAAGAAATACGAATTAAAAAAAAATTAATGTGTTTTTCAAACCTAATTACATCACTCAATTTCTCGGAAAATTTTACCCCAGTTTTGGTATAAATATGTTGTTTTCGTTAACAAATAAAGAAGACATAAAGGTTGAAAGTTGGCAAAATCCCAATTCGTATTAGTGTGGCTCACCCCAAGTGTGACATTTGAGGGTAAAGCTAGGTTAGGTCAGGTTAAGTTCGTTTTTTAATCCATGAATAAAAACTTGACTTTATCTAATGTGAACGAGTAAGCACAGTGAGAGAGGGACAGAATATTTTNCTCACCCCAAGTGTGACATTTGAGGGTAAAGCTAGGTTAGGTCAGGTTAAGTTCGTTTTTTAATCCATGAATAAAAACTTGACTTTATCTAATGTGAACGAGTAAGCACAGTGAGAGAGGGACAGAATATTTTATGGGATCCTATGTCTTTTTCTGATCATTATTCTAAAAAAAAAACACAAAAAGTTTAGTTGTAATTAGTAATGATGCGTTAAGGGTGTTAGAATTTTGAAAAAAATATTTCTCGAAAACTAGGTTCGACTGCACAAAATAACTTCAGGTTCAAATTCATCACCATCGAAAATTGGCAAAGGCCAAAATTTCGTGAAGATTTTTAAGTTTTACTTATGCTAAATCTGGATTTAAACACTTACCGACTAAAAGTTGGGTTAGGTGAGAAAATTTAACATTACAACTGATACATAATTTTTTTTATTAAGGGAAAAGCCGACGTTAATGTACGAAACGGCAAAGACTTCACCTTGCTGCACCAGGCTATCCTGAAAGAGGATTCAAAGACCTCCATTTTTCTTCTGGATAATGGTGTCGACATTAATGCCAAGTGAGTTTGATTCTTTGCCATAACAAAAGTCGTATGTTTTTTTTTGGATGATAAACAATGATATGTCCAGTATTTTAATTTAACCCCTAGGGGGCGCCACCTGTGCCGCCTTCAGTCTCTTAATCAGTCTCTAACTCTTTTGCCCTTATGTGGGTGTTGTGGTTTCTGTGCTCATACCAACATTCCATCAAACAACCGAGAACACGGCAACCCGTCAAGCTAACGTCATCACAGCCTTCCCATCCACATGCACACAACACTCGTTTAAAGCAATTAATTGCTTTAGCAAACTTTGTTTTCTAAAGGAACTAGACGTTTTGCTTTATCTCTGACTAAGGAATAAAACGATACTTTAAACCCTCGATTACAAAAAAAAATGCGTTAGTGAACAGACGTAAATTATTTGTAGGACTGCTGACTACGAGACGCCTCTCCAACTGGCCATCCACTGCCGGCTTGGCGACGTGGTGGACGCCCTCTGCACTAGAGGTGTCGACATGTCAGCTCCCGACAGGCTGGGCAACTGCGCCTTGTGGGCGGCCTTGGACTCGGGCCAGGAGGATATCGCCAGCATCCTGGTCAGACACGGGGCCGATACGGATTGTTGGGGGCCCGGTCCCGACGATTGTAGACAGACGCTTCTACATAGGTAGCGAACGTGTTTAAGTATGACCCGGTACTTAAAATTACCTTTTTTTTTTAAGAGCGATCGATGAGAACAAGGAATCGGCTGCTGTGTTCCTGATCCAGGCGGGCTGCGACCTGGACTCTCCCAGGATGCCGGGGCCCAACGGCGAAGGGGGCGAAGAGGCGAAGGACGGATCCTCGCCCCTTCACCTCTGTTGCCAGTGGGGGTTGGAGCCTGTTGTAAGGGTGAGTTTGGAGTTTGGCACAATAGTTGTGGATTTTAAAACTAAGTCATCACTTCTTTCTAAAAATAGCTGTTAACAGTTGTTTTTCCAAGAATTGACAGGTCATTATTAATTTTCAAATGACCAGTCATGGTGGTTTTCAAAAATGACCATGTATTTTTTATAAAAGGCAAGTGGAATTAATGTTAGCTTTGAACTGAAGTTTGACATTTAAAAATGACAGTTATGAATTTTAAAAAGTCAATTTTATTTCTGAAAATAGCAGCACAAATGTTCTTTAAATTGTTTGTTTTAAAGATTTTAAAATTGACTGGTTGTTAATTTTAAAATGACCAGTCATAATGGTTTTTAAAAATGACCAGATAAGTATTTCTTAAACAAGATTAGTCAATTAATATTGAATTTTAGAAAATGGGTACTAATAATGTTAAAAGTAATGAACTGAAGATTCAAATTAAAAATAATATAGTAGTTAATTTAAAAATTTTTATTTCTGAAATTAATAGCTTATTTTTAAAAACCGTTGATTTATATTTTTTAAAATTGACCAGTCATTATTAATTTTAAAATGACCAGAAATGTTTTTTAAAATGACTAGAAGTGCCTTTAAAATGACAGTAAAAAAAAGTTGTCTGTATCTCTCATGCGACATATGTTATCCGTAGTATTTTTGCCTCCTGATCACGAATCCAGTGTCAGAATTGAGCTATCACATCACAGGAATTTCCTAACCTCAAAAAAACAGGTCAAAAATAGCAAAAATTCAGGAAAAGTGCTAGGAAAGGTGCAAATTTTTTTTTTTCTATATTCAAATATTCATTTATATGGTTAAGACCCCGCCGAACTTGAATTCGCGGTCAGAATTGATGGTTCTTTTTCTAACCTAAAAAAACGGGTCAATTAAGGTCAGATTTCACGAATTTTCAAAAAATAACAGATTCGCACCAAATATGATATACGGGGGTTTTCGGGGTCGCTGATCACGGATCCGAGGTCAATTTTGCAAAATTCATGATGGCGGATCCAAAATGGCCGACCAAATTTTAAAAAAATAACTAAAATTAGCCGTTCAATTTTAGATACTGGTAGTATTGGAAGTTTGAAATTTAGAAATGACTTCTGAATTTAAAAAATGGTCACATTTATTGCTGAAGGTAGCAGCTGTTGTTTTTTAAAATTTTTGCTTTTTACGGTTTAAAAATGAGAGGCATTTCTTAAAAATGACTAATCAAACTTATGTTTAAATTAACTGTTCTCTTTTAGATAATTGATAATAATAGCATTAAAACTCATTAACTGGCATTTGAAGTTTAGGAGTGACATAGTTATGAATTTGAGTCACATTTATTCCCGAAGATAGCAGCTGTCGTTTTTTAAATTGTTTGCTTTTTATGGTTTAAAAATGAGGGGTCTTCATTAATTTTAAATGACCAATTGTGTTTTTTTTTTAATGACCAGGCATTTCTTAAAAATGACTAATCAAACTTATGTTTAAATTAACTGTTCTCTCTCTTAGATAATTGATAATAATAGCATTAAAACTCATTAACAGGCATTTGAAGTTTAGGAGTGACATAGTTATGAATTTGAGTCACATTTATTCCCGAAGATAGCAGCTGTCGTTTTTTAAATTGTTTGCTTTTTACGGTTTAAAAATGAGGGGTCTTCATTAATTTTAAATGACCAATTGTGTTTTTTTTAATGACCAGGCATTTCTTAAAAATGACTAATCAAACTTATGTTTAAATTAGCTGTTCTCTTTTAGATAATTGATAATAATAGCATTAAAACTCATTAACAGGCATTTGAATTTTAGGAGTGACATAGTTATGAATTTGAGTCACATTTATTCCCGAAGATAGCAGCTGTCGTTTTTTAAATTGTTTGCTTTTTATGGTTTAAAAATGAGGGGTCTTCATTAATTTTAAATGACCAATTGTGTTTTTTTTTTAATGACCAGGCATTTCTTAAAAATGACTAATCAAACTTATGTTTAAATTAACTGTTCTCTTTTAGATAATTGATAATAATAGCATTAAAACTCATTAACTGGCATTTGAAGTTTAGGAGTGACATAGTTATGAATTTGAGTCACATTTATTCCCGAAGATAGCAGCTGTCGTTTTTTAAATTGTTTGCTTTTTACGGTTTAAAAATGAGGGGTCTTCATTAATTTTAAATGACCAATTGTGTTTTTTTTA